TTATTAATATATGGATAGATGGATGGATAGATACTTTATTAATGATACATGGATAGATTATTAATGGATAGATGGATAGATACTTTATTAATGGATAGATGGATAGATACTTTATTAATTGATGTATGGATGGATGGATGATGGATGGATAGATACTTAAATAATGGATGGATGGATGGATGGATAGATTGATAAATGGATGGATGGTTAGATAGATTGGTAGATGGATAGATAGATGAATGGATGGTTAGATCATTTATTAATAGATTGATTTATAGATGGATGGATGGAAAGATGGATAGTTGGACAGATAGATTGATAGATGGGTATATAGATAGATGATGGATGGATAGATTGATAGATGGATGGATGATGCATAGATGTTTTATTAATGGATGGATGTAAGGATGGATGGATGGATAGATACTTTATTAATAGATACATGGCTAGATAGAGGGGAAGATGGATGTTAGATAGATTGATAGATAGATGGATACATAGATGATGGATGGATGGATAATAGATAGATAGCTACTTTATTAATCCCAAGGGAAATTCAAATATCTGAGGAAACTTTGTTTCTCACAGCAGCAGACATGGGACAATATATGGCCTTATAACTGTAAACAAATAATTATACAACAAGAAAGTGATCAATAACTGTCTGTAGTTAAAGTAAAATCCAGCTGTAGGAACAATAAAAACACAGTCATGCTCAGTGAGCCACCATCAGTGGTGAGAGCCTGCCCTGTGGTTAAAAAGCAAAACATCTATTAAGTCTTGTTGTTGCTCGCCTCCAGTTTCTGTAAACGCGTGGACAAGCTGCAGGACGACGACGACCTAAATGATTAAAACATCACATCTAATTTTATCACCCGCCGCTGAAAGGTGAAAGTGGATGAGAGGTTTTTTCTCTTGTGTCTTGTGTCATGTCACTCACTTTTTCCTGTTTTTAAAAAAAATCTCATGGTTGTTGCCACATCTATCGTTTCGTCACATCATTGAGGAAATGACACAATTTGTTGACTAAAAAGTAAATAAAAAAGGCAAAGTAAATAATGTAACCATGTGTTTTTTTTATGAAACATTTTGGGAGATTTTTACCTGTTTCGGTGATCAGATGTAAAGCATTATTATTATTTTTGCAATTTGTAAAGTCATTTTAGTTTGCACCAACTCATTTGGATATTTAAAAAATTATTTTGTCATTGCAAGTTAAACAAGAGAAAAACCACATACAGTAGTCCCTCGTTTGTCGTGGGGGATCTGTACCCTGAAGACCCGCGATAAGTGAAAAACCACCAAGTAGGAATAGTAGTACAAGTAGTAAGTAGTAGTTTATTAGATAAGCATTTTCAACCCTTCCCACACTCTTGCAATATTCTAAACAATGTTTCTAAACTCTCTCGGCCACGCCCACTTATCTGCTCTGAACGGAGATCAGCTGCAGGAGGAAGCTTCTCCTGCAGTGGTGGACTGCACAAAGGTGCAGCAGGTGCTAAATAATTTAACGTAATTTATATCTATTAAAAAAAAAACATGCAGATTGTGCGGCTCATTCATCAATCAGCCAATTGTGTGTCATGTCAATTTTATTTGGAAAAACCATGATTGAGCAAGTCCACGAAAAACGAACCGCGAAGTAGCGAGGGACAACTGTACTTTATTTATTTTCAGTTTTTTAATAAAATATTTTTACATTTCCCTTACTGAAAGAAATGCATTTGATGCAGCTGTTTTATACAATGGACCTGCCTTGTATTTGTATTTGTGTTCATTTTTATTTTTGTGTAGCTGAATTTTTGACCAAATAGTTTCAAATGTGAAGGTTATCAGTGCAACAGTAATTCCAGTTATTTTTATTTAAGTTTAAAGTAGGAAAATCATGATTAATAAAACAACACGTAAAATGTATTTTTACCCTCACTAAGCCTCTTGATTTATTTTTCATCGCTGATTATCTGATTTTGAATATTTGTGATCAGAACCCATAATATATCTGCTTCCAGGGAGTTACTTCGCCAACCATTTCATCATGGGAGGAGAGAAGTTTGACTCCACACATCCAGAGGGCTACCTGTTCGGGGAAAACACAGACCTCAACTTCCTGGGCAGCAGACCCGTAGCGGTAGGTCTCCTTTCACTGTAACACCTTCAAAACAACGTTAGCATTGAAAGCGTAGCATCCATTGAGGAAATGCATATTGCCCACCGCCCTTCAGAGTTTGAGACTGAGATAATGTTGTGTTAAAAAATGATGGATTTGAAGCTGTTTGCTTGATACTGTGATGCTCAGAGTAAGTGCTGTGAGTTACTCATCTACCTTTCAAAGTCTGTAAAACCGACTGAGTTGATTATGTTCGTTCATGGGTATCACTCAGACTTTTCAGTAATTACCGTATTTTTTTCGTGTCTTCTAAAACGAGTTGGCCGAGGCTCCATGTTGAACTGAGTCGGCTTCAAAAGTTAATTAGTTGCAGATGGACATTTAATAAATCTTTTCCTAAAAATGTATCTGAAATCCATCCAGTGTTTCATAAGACGTTTTACTAACAGACAAACCATGTTGACTCTAAATAGTTATTGTCAAAATAGAAAACAAAGCTCTTGTGCAATCTGTTTATACTCAGATTATGCATTGGGGATCAGTCTCAGCTACTACCACACCAAACTGTAGCTCAATAGCTGTAAAAATAACCAAGTTATAGCCATTTTAGTGTTTTTAAGGTAATTTGACTGAGGCAGCCATCTTGAATCAGGTTGACTATAAACATAATCAGTTATTGAGATACATCTAATGATTACTTTCTGCAAAATGTATTCAAATTCTTATAATGGTTCATGAAATATAAAAATAAAGCTCCAGTTTTCCAATTTGAGGCTGTTCAAAGAGCTATCTACAGCAGGTAAGACATTATTTATTCAAAACCTTCTCTTTCGGTTGAGTTGAGAACTGTCTTCCGTCTTTGAACAGAACTCACCTGGGTTATAAGAAGGGGAAATGCTGTAGAAGTTCATGTGTGAGTCAGGAGAACCTTGAAGGACCTACAGTGTTGTAGGTGAGGCTTCGGTGAATGTCTCCTTTAAGCCCCTGCTGCTCTGTGCGTGTTTGTTTGTGTGGTTTACAGGCAGGACTCCTGCCGAGCCCAGATGTGTAATAGTGCTGAATATGGTTCTGTTCACAGCCACACAAACACACTTGGACACACGCGGGAGCTCAGATGAGTGCTTGTAGTGTCGAGGTATCTGACCACATCCTCCTCATGAGATCCTAAAACCACCTCGGCTCTCCCCTTACGCTCATTCAGCAACCTTTAGCTTCAAACACCCGGTGAAAGGGCTGCTGGGAAACCAACCACAATGTTATGTTAAGTCTAAAGGTTATGAGATTACACCCAAGATTTTATCATTCAAACATGACTTCTCATAGAGCTCTGAGTTCCAAGTTTCTTGAATAGCATCAAAAGCTCTTTTACGTAACCAAGATTCAGATGCAAAGTCACTCCCCTCACAATGGGCAATCCTTAGGATCTTTGTCCTGATGCATGCACTCTGCATACACGACTCGGACGTGTCGGTCCCGGGCATGAAAGTGTGAATTGAAGGGAACCTGGCATCAGGCCCAGTTTACACATGAACCAAATCAGAAAACTGTTTTTTTCATGTTGCGTTTAAATGGATAAGGCTGTGCTTGTTGAATCAGCTGCAGTTCCCATGCCAGGCAGGGTTGCAGCTTGCTGGATAGGAAAATACGAACTATCATACTGTCACTTTAAAATGATTGTATTTTGACCCAAACTGTCATGCGCTGAGTGAGAGTGAACTTTCTCCGAGGGAGTGTGTGTGTTGTGATTGGTGAACATGTGCACAACAAAGAAGAGGGGCTTGACTCTACAGGTATAGAATAAAAATGGAAATTATTGTATATCTGGCAACACTGGCGAGGTCACTCGCTGGCGCTGTGATTTTTGGCTTTTAACGAGGCGTGTGCACGCCCACATACTTCAGTCTCATCCTAAATGGTGAGTACATGAATGCTCGTTTGGACTGAGGATGATTCAAGGTTCTTTATTTGTCATTCGCACCACATGTGGTACATGTGGTGGAATGAAATTGTGTACACAGGGTCCTAGTTACATCCAACAAAAGTATAAAATGTAAAAGAAAAACAGTAATTAGATATGAACTAAGCAAAACGTTAACTAAAAATACACCAAGCACTAGTAGTACTAAAACAATACGCCGAACAGCAGCACGGACATCGGTTTGTGAGTGTGAACAGATGAGTATGCATGAACACAGCAATATGAAACAGATCAGCAGCAACATGAAACAGATCAGCAGCAACATGATTTGATTTTTCACAGTGATTATTCTGGTTAGAGATTCATGAGTCTAACAGCTTCAGGGTAGAAGCTGTTCCTCAGTCTAGTGGTTCTACACTTAATGCTCCTCAATCTCCTTCCTGAGGGGAGCGGGGCAAAAAGTGTGTGCTGGGTGAGTGGGGTCCTTCATGATGCAGGTGGCCCTCTTTCTGCATCTAGAGGTGTAGATGTCTGTGATGGTGGGGAGACTGACTCCAACAGACTTCTGTGCAGCCTTCACCACTCTCTGCAAAGCTTTTCTTTCTGCAGCTGTGCAGCCTCCATGCCACACGTTGATGCTGGAGCACAGGATGCTCTCCACTGCACACCTGTAGAAGGAGGTGAGGACTGAGCTACCCAGACCAGCTCATCTCAGCCGCCTGAGGAAGTAGAGTCTCTGATGTGCTTTCTTGATCAGGCTGGTGGTGTTGTTGAGGTTGGGTTGTTTCTATACATTGGAAAGACTGAGTGGCACAAACAGCGTTCTGCTATTGGCCATTCAGTATCTGTAGTGCAAACACTTCTGCAGGGCATTGTCTCCAAAAACCTGAGACCTGGATTCAAAAAGCTTCAGTTTCAGAGAAAACAAGCATGGTTTTGGTGTTCAGGTGCGTTCGAACCGCAGCAGAAACTTCATTCAGAATCGGCATGGTGTAAACTGGACCTAAATTTTAGAAAGCTGAAGACGTCCTCCACTGTTTAAAGTTGTTTTTTCTCGTTTGACGTAAATGGCTTCCTTCACCCCCCCATTCAAACCTTCTCGGTCCTAAATATGAACATTTTGGTCCTTTATCCTTGAGCTGATGCACAGCTGAGTCCTGTCCTGAGGAGCTGGATCTCTCCTGTGTTGAGCCATGCATCTAGGTTCAGGTTCAGGTTAGGTTTATTTGTCATAAGCAAAATCAACACAAGGTCAACAATGCAATGAAATGCTGAGGACGAGAAGAACCGTCTTGACTCGCCAAAAACAAACAACAACAAGAAGTACCAAAGCATGCAGCAAAAATACTAAAACATTCTAAAAATACTACTGAAATACTAAAAACAGGGCATCAAAGTTTAAAAAGAAATACAACTACCATGAGGTTCTTTCAGTAGCATGGTTCTGTTCTGTCAGTGGTGGGATCTTGTTAGCAACGTTAGCAGGTCTTGTTAGCAGCTTGATGGTAATAAGGACCACAGCAGCTGCCCTCACAGACTGCAGTCCAGAACCGGGTCCGGCAGACAGAGAACATCCAAGTTTTCTCTGCGGAACGGAACGGTTCAGAGTTTGGTCCGTGCAGGCACATGGAGGATCTTGTTAGCAGTGTTAGCAGGACCTGCTAGCAGCTGGTTCAGGGAACTGAACTATGATGGCATTAAAAATACCCCCCCCCCCACACACACACACACACACAATGTTTTTTTTTCCACTTTGGAGTATGCTGTTGGTTGAGAATCAGTTCTGTTTGGTGGCTCCTCAGACTGAAGAAGTCCGTTGGATGAAGGACGAAACGTCGCAGCACAAAAAAGAAATCGTCCAGATGACCTGACTGAACATTGTTGGATTTTATACCTGGATTATTGAGCATGAAATTTGGTGTTTTGAACCACTTTGACATGACTTCAATTTAATGTTTTATAGACATTGAGCTAAAACCTGGTGTGTAGTAGCTGAGAGTCATTCACAACACAGACCTGAAGCACTAACAGATAATGAGATGTTGCATGATTGTGCATATGTTATTCAATTCAATTCAGTTTATTTATATAGCGCCAAATCACATCAAAGTTGTCTCAGGGCACTTTACAGGAACATTCACATACATAAAACCAATTAGTAAAGTTCTTTATCTAAGGAGGCCAGCAGACAAGTTGAATCTTGGCTTCGTCGCAGTCTCCCATCCTGAGCAAGCACAGTGGCAACAGTGGAAAGGAAAAACTCTCTTTTAGAAGGAAGAAACCTCCAACAGAACCAGACCCAGGACAAGCGGCCATCTGCTTTGACCGGCTGGTTGAGAGGACAGGAAGGAGAGACAGACGAACATAGAATGGTAGGTCCAGGTATAAGTCCAGGTGTATCTGAAAGACAAAAAACACATGTTAAGGATAGAAAAAATAATTACAAATACAAAACAGGTTGAGCAGAGTAAGTAAAGACAGTAGCAGAGTGAAAAGTGTGGTCAGTTTGCCCTCCAGCAGTCTAAGCCTATAGCAAGATAACTAAGAGACAGCTCAGGAAACCCAAGCCGACCATAACTATAGGATTTAGCAAAAAGGAAAGTCTTAAGCTTAGTTTTAAAACTGGATAATGTGTCAGCCTCACGGACAGAGATTGGGAGTTGGTTCCACAAGAGAGGAGCCTGATAACTGAAAGATCTGCTTCCCATTCTGTTTTTGTACATTCTAGGAGCCACAAGTAAACCTGCAGCCTGAGAGCAAAGTGCTCTGTTAGCAAAATATGGAGCAATAAGATTTGTAATATAAGATGGATCCAGATTGTTGAGAGCTTTGTAGGTTAGAAGTAAGATTTTGAATTCTATTCTGGATTTGACAGGGAGCCAATGGAGAGAAGCTAAAACTGGAGATATATGATCTCTCCTACTAACTCTGGTTAAGACTCTGGCAGCAGCATTTTGGATCAACTGAAGATGTTTTAAGGAACTATTTAGACATCCAGATAACAAACCATTGCAATAGTCCAGTCTAGATGTGACAAATGCACGGACCAGTTTTTCTGCATCATTTTTAGATAAGATGTTTCTAATTTTAGTGATATTATGCAGGTGGAAGAAGGCAGTTCTAGTAATATTTTTAATGTGGGGGATAAAAGACATGTCCTGATCGAAAATAACACCAAGATTTTTAACATTATAGCTGGAGGACAGATTAATGCCATCTAAGGAGGGAGAAAGACTGAAAAATTTATTCCTAAGGTGCTCAGGTCGAAAAAACAAAACCTCAGTCTTGTCTGTGTTCAACAGGAGAAAATTAAGGGTCATCCAGGTTTTTATGTCTTTAAGACATGCTTGAAGTCTTAGTAGCTGATTGGATTCATTGGGTTTAATGGACAAATATAATTGTGTGTCATCAACATAACAATGAAAATTTATCGAATGCTGTTTAATAATTTTACCTAATGGAAGCATATATAAAGTAAAGAGTATTGGCCCAAGCACAGAGCCCTGAGGAACTCCGTGACTAACTTTGGTGTATGAAGAAGATTTATTATTTACAATTACAAACTGGAATCTCTCAGATAGATATGATTTAAACCATTTTAGAGCTGTTCCTGTAATTCCAACATCATATGCAAGCCTCTGTAGTAAAATATTGTGATCAACTGTATCAAATGCAGCACTGAGGTCTAACAGGACCAGTATAGACACAAGTCCATTGTCTGAGGCCATGAGAATATCATTAGTTACTTTTACTAGTGCTGTTCCTGTGCTATGATGAGCTCTAAACCCTGAATGAATCTCTTCAAACAGATTATTTCTTTGTAGATGTTCACACAACTGACCTGCAACTATTTTCTCTAGAATTTTTTAGATGAAAGTTCGATTAGATATAGGTCTATAGTTGGCCAGAATTTCTGAATCAAGGTCAGCCTTCTTAAGTAAAGGTTTAATTACAGCAACCTTAAAGCGCTGTGGTAAATAACCATCCATTAAAGACAAATTAAGTAGATTCAAAATGTGGACATTAATTAGGGGAAATACCTCTTTAAACAGTCTGGTTGGGATGGGATCTAGCAGTCATGTGGATGGTTTGGATAAAGTTATTATTTTTGTCAATTCAGAGAGCTCAGCAGGACAAAAACTGTCCAAACATAAATCAGGCTCTAGTGAAATTTTTAAAGTTGCCTCATTTGACAGGGGACTAGAGATAGTAGAAGGAAAAATGGTTTGAATTTTCTCTCTAATTGAAATAATTTTATTTATAAAGAATCTCATGAAGTCATCACTACTTTTAGTTGTAGGGATACATGGTTCAACAGAAACTGGACTTTTAATTAGTCTAGCAATAGTACTAAACAGAAACCTAGGGTTATTTTTATTCTCCTCTATTAAAGATGAGTAATATAAAGTTCTAGCTTTACGGAGAGCTTTTTTATATGTTAGCAGACTATCTTTCCAAGTTAAATAAAATTCTTCAACATTAGTAGAGCGCCATTTTCTCTCCTGGTTTCTAGATGCCTGCTTTAAACTACGTAACTCAGAATTGAACCAAGGAGCCAGTTTCCTCTGATTGATTACTTTCTTTTTCAGTGGAGCAATTTTATCAAGTGAAGTTTGCATTGAAGTTGTAAGATGATCAACTAGATGATCTAAGTCACTGTTCTCTGATGCATTACTCTGCAAGACAGAGGAAAACAATGATGGAAGAGATTGTTTAAATTTGGTTACAGCATTTTCTGATAAGCACTTGCTGAGATGAAATTTACTCTCAGTGACTGTGTAGTCATTTAATGTAAACTCAAAGGTTATTAAAAAATGGTCGGACAGAATAGGATTTTGAGGAACTATTACCAAGTCCTTAATCTCTACACCATAGGTCAGAACTAAATCAAGAGTGTGATGATAAGAATGAGTAGATGTGCAGACGTTTTGGGTAAAACCAAATGAGTCTATTAAATTATTAAAGGCTATGCTTAAACTATCACTCTCAACATCTACAGGAATATTGAAATCAACCATTATGATGATTTTATCAGTATTTAATAATAAGTCAGTTAATAATTCTGAGAATTCAGACAAAAACTGAGAGTAAGCGCCTGGTGGACGATATATAACAACTAGTAAAAGTGGCTTTTCTGATTTCCATTTTGGATGAGGAAGACTGAGGAACAGTGATTCAAAAGAATCATAACTAATAACTGGTTTGGCATTAATCAATAATCCTGACTGAAAAAATAACAAAATCCTCCTGTTGTAGCCAAGTTTCTGTCAGACAGAATAAATCAATATGATGATCAGTTATCGGTTCATTCACTAACAGGGATTTAGAGGAAAGAGATCTGATGTTCAATAATCCACATTTTATGATTTCGCTCTGGTAAAGTAACTGTGTTTATTTTAATCAGATTTTTATGGTTTATATTTTTAGAGCTGATTTTTGGTTTATTTGATTTGAGCCGTGGGCGAGTTGACACTGTTTCAATGTGGGTGTGGGTGGGTAACAGAGGAGAAGCAGCAGAGAGGGGTGGAGGACTACAACTCTGCTTCCTGGACTGGACCCTGGGTTGTCAGTAATTTGGGGGACAAACAAATATTCTCAAGGACCAAAACTGTTATTTCTCAACATAAGATGATTTTAGTTTAAATCCCTGCCAAGAAAGGCGGCAGGCAATATGCGTTCTTTTGAGGAATACTCAACCTTTAATTTGAAGGGGTTTTACATGTGGTTCCATAAGGATCGTGAAACAACGAGCCTCTGTTTGACCCAGGACTGCTTCGGTCCTCCGGTGTGCTGAAGCCTGAAAAGATCCTCGTCTAAAGTGTCAGCTGCGTCTCTGGAAACACTCAGTCCAAGCAGATTTTTTTGCTCAGGTTCAGCACTTGTCAGCACCAACAAGGTCCCTGCTGACAACCCAAATCCTGTTTGTGTAAAAAAAAAAAAAAGGTTAAATTGAGAGCAGCCGCGGTCATTGTGCACAACCTAGATTTTGCTACGATAATTGGAAAGGAATGTTGGGCGGTTGAGGGAAAACAAACGTCTCGGTCCCCAAACATGTACTTTCCATCTATAATTTGTTTTCTGTGTTTTCAGTTCCCGTATGCGGCTCCTCCGCCTCAGGAACCGGTGAAGACGCTACGAAGCCTTATAAACATTCGAAAGGACACCCTGCGGCTCGTCAGGTACGCACCTCTTCCCACCGGACTCAACATGTCATTAAGGTGTTTAAGTCATCGGAGCTATTTTTGGGGCAAAGGCTATTTTAGGAGATGGTGTCAAACCTTTCATGGCTTCTTGCAAGACCGGCTTTTATTTTTAAGTGTTACACATGCCAGTTCACAATTATATACTTAACCCAGAAATAACAACATGACTGTCGTTTATGAGGACAGAACCCAAACAGGAAATAAAACTCAGTCAATATGGAACAAATTAAATAAAACATATTTTAAGAATCTCATTAAATTCTGGTTAAAAACGTCTATATTTCAGCTCGAATTACCATGATGAAAAATAGATGCTGGGGCTTTTCAGTTTTGTGTGCAAATATTAAACGCTGATTTCCTCTGCGCACCTTGTCCAGGTGCAGCGAGGACCTGAAGCTGCCGGGCGACGAGGGCGCCGGGAAGAACCGGGCCTGCTACAACGTAGAGTTCACCTTTGACGCCGACACACAGGTGGCCATCACCATTTACTACCAGGCCATCGAGGAGTTTCACAACGGAGTGCCAGTGTGAGTACAAACGTGGGCTTTTCTTTAGAGCTAGTAACACAGAATGCCTGTCGGGCTACGTACAGAACAGAGTTAAGTCAACTTCATTTATAACAGCAGCTGTTACCAAAGTGCTTGGTTAACATCTGGCAAGGCTCTGCATCTGGAAATTACATGATAACGTAAGCAGAAAAAACATGTACAAAGAAATATTTTTAAACTTCCAATATTACAAAATAAATACTCCTGAGTAGTGATTGACCAGTTAGGGTTTCCTGCATCTAATGCTGATCCTTAAAAGTCCGAGCAGCCAACCGCTGATGTTAAACACAGATTTATTTATTTAATTTTTTTTTTAGCTTACTTGTATTTTCCAAATAGTACAATCATAATGTCATTGATTAATTTAAACAAGCATTTATTTAACATTTAGACCCCTAAAATATAAGAGCTTTTTCACGTAAAGCATCTAAAATATACAGTGTGCTGACATACTGACATCATTTTCAGGGAAAGTCTTGCTTGTTTCAGCAAAGCAATGCTCAACCACAAACTGCATCCATTACTTTGCAGTAGTCAGTGCAGGTGCTGAACATCTGACGCATTATGAAACAAAAAAATCCAGCAAAGAAGACAGCTAGAGTCCTTCACCAGACGAGAATGGGACCAGTTTCCCACCAAAACCTGGCATCAGCTGGTCTCAGGTCCTACATGTTTACGCATGCTTAGTGTAAAATATGGACTTGTACCTAGATGTGTTGCTGCCAACAAATTCATAACCTCAACTAGATGGTGTTATTTCTTAGTTTAAACAGTTGATATGTTTCTTGTGCACCATTCTGAATAAAATATGGGTTAATAAAGTTATTGCATTCTATTTTTATTTACATTTTACACGTCTCAACTTGGGCAGCACGGTGGCGCAACTGGTAGAGCTGCTGCCTCTCAGCGAGTAGGTCCTTGGTTCAAACCCCGGTCCAGGGGCCTTTCTGGGTGGAGTTTGCATGTTCTCTCCGTGCATGCGTGGGTTTTCTCCGGGTGCTCCGGTTTCCTCCCACAGACCAAAAACATGCATGTTAGGCTGATTGGTAACTCTAAATTGTCTCTAGGTGTGAGTGAGAGAGTGAATGGTTGTTTGTCTTGTTTGTCTCTATGTGGCCCTGTGATGGACTTGCGACCCGTCCAGGGTCGCACAGTGATTGCTGGACATGGGCACCAGCGACCCCCGTGACCCAAAATGGAACAAACGGGTAAAGATAATGGATGGATGGATGGATGGATGGATGGACGTCTCAACTTTTATTATTTTTTTTTTCAGAATTGGAGTTGTATTTTGCTTAGTGGCAGCATTTGCAAAATTTTTTCTCCCTCAAACAATAAAAACAAAACAAACTCCCTCCCCCCCACTGCCCATTCCTGAGCCACTAATGCACCCTCATACCATCAGAGAGGCAGGCTTTTGAACTGTGCGCTGATAAAATTCCTGACCTCATATTTCGCCTCTTTCTGTGCGTTCCCTGCAGTTACCTTCCACAGGACAGCTCCCTGCAGTCAGAGACGGTCCATTTCAAACGGGGAGTGTCCCAGCAGTTCTGTCTTCCCTCGCACACAGTCAACCTCAGCGAGTGGGCCGATGAGGAGGTTTGTTCCAACTCTCTCCTACTGAAACCTGCAGCTGCGAGGCTCAGCTGGAGAAAGACTGATAACTGAAGTGTTTCCGTTCTCAGCTGCTGTTTGACATTGACAAGGAGATCTTCCCGATGGTTATCCAGGCTGTTGTAGACGAGGGAGAAGGTGAGTTGTTGGGTTTTATCCCAGAACTGGCTCAGGGACAAATCTGATTGGATGATGTCGAAAGCAGACTGTTAAACCTGGAAAACCTTAGCAGCTGTTCTAGTTCGACAATAAACAATAAACTGTAAGGATGCATCTGACCTACATTACTTATACAGTATGTAGATTGTGAAGAGGGTGGGTCCTAAGACTGGACCTTGTGGTACACCATTTTTAACAGTTAGATAGCTGTAAGAAGTACCATTATATTGAACACATTGCTTCTGATCTGAGAGATAATTAGAGAACCAACCAATAGTGTAATCTGAGAAAACAATTTCTGAGAGCTTATGACATAAGATGTCATGGTCCACAGTGTCAGAAGCTTTAGACAGGTCTAAATAAAGTGCAGCACAATAATCCTTAGCATCCAGTGCTCCAATGACATAATTAAAAACCTTCAGCAAAGCAGTCATTGTGCTGTGTTGTTTCCTGAAACCAGATTGATGGGGAGATAAGATGTTAAAACTCAGGACATAATTACTTGCAGTGTACCCTCATTGCGGACAGAACTTGGCAAAAGGGCCTTCTCTTACTCCACCGCTGTATCCTGGAACACCTTGCAAAAAGATCTGAAGCTCTCGACCTTGACCTCTCTAAGGGACTTTAAACAATTGCCAAGTTCACGGCCAAAACCAACACAGACATGTTCCTGTGTTTAGTATTTTACATCGCTTTATAATGTAGCTGTTTTTGACTTTTCATTTTAAATGCTTTCATATGATTGTCTATTGTTGTCTGCACCTCATCTGTGTTCTTTGTTTAAAACAGGTCTCTCTTGTAAATGAGTCCTCGAGGCTCAATGAGACCAACCTGTACAAATAAAGGCTGAATGATCATTTGAAGGTTCAGCAGCATATTTAATGCAGAGGTCTGTCTTTTGTTTTCTAGAACATTTGGGCCACTCTCACATCCTGCTGGCTACGTTTGAAAAAGTAAGAGCGAGACTCGTTCAAACTCATATTTTAGTGGTTTAATATTATTTATAATAAAACATAATTGTTGTGTTGTTTTGCAGCACATGGATGGGAGTTATTGTGTAAAGCCTCTGAAGCAGAAACAAGTGGTGAATAGTCCAGTTTTTCTTCTCTCCTCCCTTCCTTCCAGCTTTTGTGTTGGACTTTTTAAAGACAAAATATTTATTTCCCCTTGAATATTTTATGCCTGACCCGAGGGCCTCTGCCTTTATTATTCTTCATCGTGTTTGTTCCCAGGTGGATGGAGTGAGTTATCTGCTGCAGGAGATCTACGGCATCGAGAACAAATACAACAGCCAGGAATCAAAGGCAAGATTATCAAAAAACTCTGTAATATTTGAAGTCATAAAGAGAAACCTTTGAAAGCTCATGTTTTTTTGTTGTTATCGTCTGCAGGTTGCTGACGATGAGATCAGTGACAACAGTGCGGAGTGTGTTGTGTGTTTGTCGGACGTGCGAGACACTCTCATCCTGCCGTGCAGACACCTGTGTCTCTGCAACGCCTGCGCAGACACGCTGCGCTACCAAGCCAACTGCTGCCCCATCTGCAGGCTGCGTGAGTTAAATACTGAGATCATTCATCATTGTTTCTAAAATAAGGAGACTTTCCTGCTGTTATTAATCTGTAGCAATTATCTGAATAATATTTTTAAAGCTCAGCTCAGTATTTTTAT